CCAGGTCAGTTTAATTTTCTTGGCATTTTATCTGGTATAGCTCCACATATAATAAGATTATTTTGAAAATGCTTTTTTGGGATATTCAACAGTAAACTTATTCAAACTGATATAATTCAATTAATGGCAGAATAGAACGCCTAGTAGAGCAAGTTAACCCAAATAGTTGTAAGAAATCGTGATTTTTCAATATTCTCATTGTTTTCTGCAAAAGAAATTGATCAGTATATTGGGAAAACTTTTATCAGTATATTGGGAAAACTCTGAGATGTTATGAAATTATGAGGGTATTTTGGTTTTTCATACCTATGCCTGCTAACCCCTGATATAGTCAGTGTTGGGTTGGGACATGGAGATGATAGAGCAGATTTAACAAGGCCTCTAAGCCAAACCTTTTTCAGAACTGTGAATTCTGGCACACAACGTTTTAGAGCACTTAAACCCCTCTTGTAGACCATATAATGATTCCAAAAAATAAAGAATAGAAACCTGTTGCCTTGAGTCAATTTCTGACTCATAGCAACTGTATAGGACAGAGTAGAACTGCCCCATAGGATTTCCAAGCGGTGGCTAGTGGATTTGAACTACCAGCCTCTTGGTTAGCAGCCAAGGCCTTAACCACTATGCAACCAGGGCTGCATGTAATGATTAGGTGTTCTAATATTCTTAATAAATTATTGGAAATTGAAGTTGTATAAAAATGTAGTAAGTGGCATCTATGTCTTGTCTCACAATAGAGAGTAGTGTTGGACTAAAATAATTTAGCAAATTGGAATTAAAAAACAAACTCATTGCTGTTGAGTTGATGCTGACTCATAGCAATCCTATAGGACAGAGTGGAACTACCCTATTAGGTTTCCAAGGAGCAGCTGGTGGATTCGAACTGTCAACCTTTGGTTAGCAGCTGAGCTCTTTACCACTGCGCCATCAGGAATACTGATTAGAAATTAGGAGAATGAAATATAGTAGGGGGCAAACATAAAGCAGTATGGTTAGAATGGAAAAATAGCAAACTCTCCTGAAGATCAGTAACTGACCATATTTAATAAGTTGGAAAATCTCTTAGTAGTAAAGGAATCATAAGATTAGCATAGTCAACAATGTAGTGTTGTGGTTAAAGCAAGCACAATACTAGGTCACATAAATAGAAATCAAGAGTGTAGGAAACTTGAGATGATTTTCCCATTGTACTTGCTGCTGGTCAGACCCAAGAGCATTGTTTCTAGTTCTGGGCTCTACCACTAAGGAAGGACGTGGAGAACTTGGAGAAAGTTCAGAGGAGGACCACAAAGATGATGAAAGGGTTGAAAATGAAACCTACAAGAAAAATTTTAAAGTAGCAAGGATTATTATTCCAGAGAAGAGAAGACTTAGAGGTATTTAATTTATGCATAAAGGATGGAGACCAGATGTTCTCAATCTTCAGTGAAGGTCAAATAAAAAGAAATCAACTTAACCTGGAGCATGAAGAATTTAGATTAGATATGAGGAAAATTTTACACTTAGAATGTAAGAATAAGTGACTAAAGAGACATTTTGAAATATTTTGTAACACTTTAGACCTTTATACATAACATGGAACTGCCCAAAGGGTATTTGAGGGATTTTTCTTTCTAGAGTTCATTAACTAAACTTGCATTTTTTTGCACTCTTTTTTTTTTTTCTGGTTAGTAAAAAATTAACAGTTGATCAGGAAATTTTGACTTATGATCAGTCCGTATGGAAATGTGTCTGATTGACTTGATAAGGTTATATAATTCGAGTTACAAGTCAATTCTGTTTATAAGAATGAAGCATAAAGCTTCATTAAATCAGAAGGATAATTAATATGACCTCTCAAAGTCTTTTTTAATCCACACATGCTTTTAATTAGATCACACTTTAGAAGACAAATGATACATGCTGTTGGTTTATGAATTGGTTTGATAGTAAATATCAATAAAAAAGAAAAAGGATTATGTTAAATTTTAAATATAGTCTTAGTCTATATTTTAACTTTTATACACATATTTACAAAAGCAGAACAATGATACAGTGCTCTAGTGGTGTTTTTCCTAAGAATAACCCTTTTATATGCCTTTTTTAAAAATGAACTGGGGCTATAAATCAATGCTGTTGTAATAGTTTGCCTGACCATAAATAAAAATTATTTATCTTTGCAAGTCAGCTACTAAAGCACTGACTAGAAGAACTAGACTATTGGTTGTTTGTGGCTAGATTTAAAAGACACATACTAACAATAGAAAAACTCTTCTCCCTATTGAGCAATGCTTAACGTGTATATTATGCTTTTCCTTCTTCATTTAAATAGCTTCTTTTGGTTTTGAGGTTTTTTGAGGAAGAAGACAAAATAAGCTGTGTACTTTATGTTAAATCAAAGAGCTGTTGTGGTCTACCATGTCTGTAAAACTAAAAAGATGCTATAGTAAAAAATTCAAAAGAAAAAATTTTAGATGTAGTAAAATTCCCATATATTATAAATAATATAAAAACAGACTGATCAGTTTTATATTGTTTATAAAGCATTCCCATTATATGTGGATGTCAAATATAAAGTTCTTCTTAATGCTAGAGGAAGTTGTAATTTTTTTTCATAGAAGAATAATTTGTTTTCTAAGGAAAGAGCAAATTGTCAATTATTTTTACTTTTTAGAAAACCACCTTTTTTCATTCAATATATTTTATCCACTTTAGTTCTAGGTGCTGTAATTGTTGTAAATATTTTAATATTAAAAATACATGGTGTGTTTATTCATGCAACTAAAGGGGGCCATTAGGATTATTGTATTTACTCCCTTAAAGAGGCATTGTATTTACTCCCTTAAAATGTCTTTCAAGGGATGCTTATTAACTTCCTGAGCACATGAGGTGCTTTGGCCAGGAAGCATACACCAGTGCTCTCTTCATATCGCACATTCAGGACTGTTCCAGACACTGCAATCAGGTGGCTTAACAATTATAAGAGAAGAAAGAGATGGGATGAATAATGAAGAAAATGTTATACAAGAGAAGAAGAAAATCTCTGTCGTCAAATGTAAAATGAACAGGATGAAAAGTTTGAAATTCTAAAAATAGGCAGAGGGAAACTCCAGGGATTTTAATGAGTTCAGCAACACAGTGGTATGGCTAGTTGTAACGTTTGTTTCTTGAAAATGTATTTTGGCCCGTTGATTGATGAACAAGAGTTCCTCACCTCCTCCTCCAGTAATATTGACTAACCATTATTTACATAAAATAAAAGAGAATTTTTATAACTTAGATTTTCCTATAGTTCGTGAGATTTTGTTTATTTATTTTTATTGTACTTTAGATAAAGGTTTACAGAACAAATAGTTTCTCATTAAACAGTTAGTATGCATATTGTTTTATAACAATGGTTAACCCCACGACATGTCAACACTGTCCCTTCTCAACCTTGGGTTCCCTATTACCAGCTTTCCTGTCCCCTCCTGCCTTCTAATCCTTGTCCCTGGACTGTTGTGGCCCGTTAGTCTCATTTTGTTTTATGGGGCTGTCTAATCTTTGGCTGAAGGGTGAACCTCGGGAGTGACTTCATTACTGAGCTAAAAGGGTGCCCGGGAGCCATACTCTCGGGTTTTCTCCAGCCTCTGTCAGGCCAGTAAGGCTGGTCTTTTTTTGTAAGTTAGAGTTTTGTTCTACATTTTTCTCCAGCTCTGGCCGGGACCCTCTGTTGTGATCCCTGTCAGAGCAGTCAGTGGTGGTAGCCGGGCACCATCTCATTGTACTGGACTCAGTCTGATGGAGGCCGTGGTAGTTGTGGTCCATTAGTCCTTTGGACTAATCTTTCCCTTGTATCTTGTTTTCATCATTCTCCCTTGCTCCCGAAGGGGTGAGACCAGTGGAGAATCTTAGATGGCTAAGACCCTAGGCGCTACTCACCAACGTAGAATGTAGAACATTTTCTATATAAACTGTGTTTATATAATTGAGCTAGATATTTCCGGAGACCATGGTCCCCACAGCCCTCTGCCCAGCAGTTCGGTCCCTCAGGGGGTTTGGATGTGTCTTTGGAGCTTCCATGACTTTCCTTGTACAAGTTGTGCTGTCTTCCCTAGTATTGTGTACTGTCTTACCCTTCACCAAAGTTACTACATATCTGTTCGAAATTTTATTTTTTAGCTGAAAAGCCTTTTTCATGTCTAACAAAATATGAGCAAATAAAACATTTCTGTCTTTTAAAAAAAATTTTATTCTGAATACTTCTGGTTTCAGAGATTAGCTCACAAGATTAGTTCTACTGTTATAGAAATGCTTAAAGTAAATGTTTGTAACAATATTGACTTAACATTATAAATGCAATATATTTACAAATATGCAAACCTGCTTTATGGACTCCATCTTTTGTATTCAGTTGTAATACAGTATAGCATTAGAATAAGTCTGACCAACATTAGGAAAGCTTTCTATTGAGCAATTTGTTTAGCTGTTTGCAAATTCACTTAAATTCGCGATATTAATTTTATTCCCATTGCTGTGTTGCACTAGCTTATTATCATTATTATTATTTAACAAGAACCCATATTAGAGTTGAAGTAACTCCAAATAGTGCTTTTAGCTCAGAGGTATAAAATATAGTCTGTGGCTATAACAGATATTCAGCAGGTTCAAAGGAAGCTGGGAATAAAAAGCCACCCATTACCTTTTTGTAGAAGCAGTAACAATCTGCATACAAGCTATTCTAGCTTCAGAACAATATGGTAGATGGTTTTATGGAACTTGCAATTACAAAAATCCACTTTAACCTTTCTTTCTTACTGGCAGGTGTCGCATTGGCTTGCAGCCAGAGGCTGTGAGTATAATGCAGCCGATGGTGTCCCCCAGGGTGCTGAAAATGCCAACACTCCAGCTGGCTGCTCATAATTGCACTGATTTTGGTCTGACAACCAGAGCTCCAAGAAAGAAATGTGATGAATATACAAAAATATTTTACAAATTTGATCAGATTACAAATTTCATCTCTCTTTTTTTCTCCTCCATAGATATGATATCTGCACTTATAAAAATAAGCCCTGTGGAACACTGGGTAAGTTTTTTTTATAAACGGAGAAGAGTTTAGATCATATATTTGGACCATGGCTTTTACTCTTCAAAATTAAATTGGTCATTTTCCTTTCTGGTATATCTGAAGTTACCTATATAAATTGTTAAACCTGACCCTTATGGATGTATCATTTACTAGGAAACAAGTGTATATTATGTAAATTTTATTGGCTTTTTTTCTGAAAGCTGGAATGATGATTAAAAAATACTTAGAAGATGATTCAAAATCATCAAGCAATGATTATAAACCAAAAGTTACCACTCATTTTCATACAATCCATCTCTGCTGTGTATTTCCAAAAATATCAAGTATTTTGAGAGCAGATGAAAGCAACTAGCATCTTCAGATCCCAGGTTACAAAAGGAAAGCCCATTGCTGATGAAGCAATTCTGACTCGTAATGGCCTTATAAGACAGGGTAGAACTGCCCCATAGGGTTTCCAAGGCTGTAATCTTTATGGAAGCTGACTGCCACATCTTTCTCCTGTGGAGCGGCTGGTGGATTCAAACCACCAACCTTTTGGTTAGCAGCTGAGTACTTAACCACTGTGCCACCAGGGCTCTTTAGAAAAGGAAAGCGGGGGGAAAAGCTTTGGGACTACCTAAAGGGCAGGCATCAAGAACAGACTTTTTACTGAACATTTTCATCAATGATTCTGTAGAAGAATCCTGATCAAAAGGGGAAAAATGCAGAAAGAATTTCAAATCCTCATGGACTCCAGACTTTCTGGAGCCACGGAGGGTGAATGAACCCTTGAAACTATTGCCCCAACCTAATCTTTAAGCCTTAAACCAAAAATATCCCCTGAAGTCATCTTAGAACTGAACAACAGTTTAGCTTATCTAGTAAAAAACATCTGCCTTGAACATTATGCTCTTTTAAGAACTATATATGAGATCAAGTTGACAACAGCAACTCAAAAGATTAGACAGGAATCTTAAGGGGCAGTGAGTTTATGTTAACAAGGGAGGAACAACTCAGAAAAGGGGGGTGAGAATGGTTGCACAACTCGAAGAATGTAATCAATGTCACTAAATTGTACATGTAGAAACTGTTGAATTGGTGCGTGTTTTGTTATGTTCTCAACAACAACAAACTAAATAAAATTTAGAAAAAAAAGGAGCATACTTCTTTTGGTACAATTTTGTTGAAAGAGTATCCCTCACAAATTTAGATATTTATAGCATCCCCCCAAAAGAGGCAATTTTATAAAATATAACCAGAGGTGGAGAGAAGGGAGAGGATTATCTTTTTTTGTGCTCCCCAAATATAATTTGTTTTATAAAAAGCATTTCTGTAGTATTCTAAAATTCTAAAAATCACGTTTTGTTACAGAGCATAGTTTATTGGTTGAAAGTTAACTGCAAATACAAATAGGGAAAAATGGTAGCTTTCCAGGAGACTAAACTAATTAAGCAACTAATTAGTATAAGCAAGAAGTGCTTCTTATCTATGATAAATTCTTTGTCACAGAGACCTTTTACAGACTCAGAAGTTAATCAACTGAAGATGAATTTTCTAGTTTATGACAAGTCTCGGTTTTCTTATCTATAAAGTAATAATTAAGAAACCTCTCCTTATGCACCTTGTAAGGACTTTGGAAAGATCAAATTAAAGAGGTGGGAGAAAAGGTGTTATCCAACTTTCTAGGGAGTTCAGTAAAATATCTCTTCAGAGATGAAAAAACACTCTTGATGGTTTTACCTGCCTTTCCCAGCTTCTCACACCCCATTTCCCTCAGGATTTATGGTTAAAGAAGAAATCCTGTTTAGTCTGTACTGAGTATTACTGTGGAGAAATTTGCTAGTTAAAAAGATAGCTTCAGAAAGAACTCACCTTGCTGAGAAAGTTCACATCAAAAAGATTTTCTTCCTAGTCCTAGTGTTTTAGGTTAACAGGACCAGGATAACCCAACGGAGGGGGCCATAAACCAGAAACTCAAAACTGGATTTGACAGTTTCAATGCATTACCTTATACAATTTATTTAAACTTTTTGTTCCTCAATTTCCTATCTATAAAGTAGGACTAATACCTGCCTCCACAATACAGGGATATTGTTAAAATTGAGGCAGAAAATATAAAGGTGTTTAGTAAACAAGGTACAGTAGACAGTAGTCCCCCCCTTATCCTAGTGGGATACATTCCAAGACCCCGTGGATGCCTGAAACCACGAATAGTACCGAAACCTGTATATACTATGTTTTGTCCTATATATACATACCTATGATAAAGTTTAATTTATTAATTAAGTACAATAACTAATAATAAAATAGAACAATTATAACAGTATACTATAATAAAAGTTATGTGACTGTTGTCCCCTGGCCGGACAGTGCAAGATTTCATCACACTACTCATTTAACATTTTTGGACTGTGGTTGACCACGTGTAACTGAAACCGTGGAAAGTGAAACCACAAATAAAGGGGGGCTACTGTACCATAAAAAATAAAATGCTATTATTATTTAATGTAGAAATTGTCTGTACTGTTCAACTTATCCTCTTTGTTTATTGTTCAAATTCTGTAAGCATTTTCTAAATGCTTAATCAATTTTAGGTACAGTAGATACTAACCCTCAAAACAAGTACACATATAAGCAACAACTTATATTTTTCTACTGGGAGTATGTATATACTTTCATATATGTAAATATACATATATATATATATATGTATGTATGTATGTACCACCAACCAGTTGCTATCAAATCAATTCTGTCTCATGGCAATCTCACGTGACAAAGTAGAACCATGCTCCATAGGGTTTTCAGTGGCTGATTTTTCAGAAGTAGATTGCCAAGTCTTTTTTCTGAGGCACCTCTGGGTGGACTGAAACCTCCAACTTTCTCTTTAACAACTAAGTGCATTAACTGTTTGCACTACCCAGACACCCAGAAGCACCTTGGAAGAAAGACCTAGCGATCTACTTCTGAAAAATCAGCCACTGGAAAAAACTCTGTGGAGCATGGTTTTGCTTTGATACACATGAAATCACCAAGTATATACTCTGACCCACACATATATTCACATATATTCAGTTCAATTCTGCTTTTTATGGGTCAGTTATTTACGATGAGCTGTGTTCTTCATTGTGACAGCAATACAACTACCGACTGTTTTTATTGTCATTATTGCCAAAGGAACTTTGAAGTACTTCCTACCCTACAACTCTTTGCTTTTTTCAAAATAATCTGTTTCAACTTTGATAGTTTCTCAATTTCTAGAATAAGTACATTCATAGTTGGGTGCATGTAAGTACATTTTAAAGTTCAATATTTAATATTATTTTTCAAATTATAAATCATTGTGAATTGATTTTATACTCTCTTAGTCAAAACTGAATCAACTGCATATATATATATATGGAGCTATGTGGAAAAATGTATTACCAGTACAGAATTTGGCAGATTATTATTTTTTGAGTTTCCATTCTGGTAACTTTCATGTTGGTTTTTATACAGATACTTCCATATTCTCTTGCTTAATACCTCTGGTGACCAATTGTAACATGGCTGAGTAGGTTGAAGGGTGCAAACTGTAGCCGTCAAACTGAGGAAATCTAAATAACCAAATAGTAATCAAACCCCTATTAACACAATCACACATAAGAACTTTGACACTTCAATTTTATAGGGAAACAGAAATTTGTGGAGGATTGTGAAAATATATTTGAATTTAAAAATATTCCTTTTTGTTAGCTAAGATTTACTTTTATATTTTCTACAAGTAAGTTATTTCCCAAATATGTTCTTTCTTAAGTTGTTCTTTTAGTAGAGCTAATAATTTTATATCAAATATGAGAAATGTTAATTTAACAATAATTATTCTTAGTAATTCTGCTTTTACCACAATTCATAAAGCTCAAAACAAAAAGGATGTTCAAACAACATAGCTTCATTCTTCTCATCTAATGGGCCATGTTGAACTCCAATGGCTTAAAGTCAGATAAAGAAAAATATACTGTCATTTTTCAAAAATTCTTTCTCTCTTTTTCTTTCTCTTCCTTTCTCTCTCCCCCTCTCCCTGTGTTGAGTTTGGAATAACACTTAATAAATATTTCTGATTAATAAAAAGAATTGAGTCATCTTGCCTTAGCTGGTGCCTCTTTTTACCTTCTCTTCTTCATGTCCCAAGACTTCGGAGTGAGTGGAAGGGCAGCACAACGGTATCACCAGTATTTATAATAACTCTGAGGCAGAAATCAATCCCCCTCCCTATTTCCTGCCCTCCCACAAAAAAAAAAGTAGGAAGAGCAAACGATGCATTAGCAAATCCAGCACTAACCTTAACTCTGTTCCAATGCGATTAATATGTTGATATTTTATATTAAATGATACTAGGGGAAAAAAAATCAACAATAACAATTTCTAGAACTTTCCTGGCATTAAAAATCTGGATTGAATAGTTTTTACTGTTCCAAATTAGTGCGAACAGGAAATTGTACCTAGCACAGAACATTGCTTATTGCACTCAATAAATACTCATTGAATTCAATTAAAATTACTTCTGATGAGAAGGCACTTATTAATATTTGGCTCAAGATAGTAGACTTCAACATACATATAATTTTTTTTTACTTTTCCTTCAGTATCTTCTAAATGAAATTTAGTCTCTGTGTGTTAAGTATGATTTGGCATCTGTTTCCTTACAAAGGGTGACGTTTTTCTTTTTTGCATGAATTTTTTTTTCTAAGCACCATTTTAAAATTCTGTACTGAATCACAAAGCATGATATTCTATTGGAAATAGATATTAACGCTTCTACATACTAAAATTCCCAAGGGAAGAATACCTTGAGTAAAATAACATTTCATTAGAATCAGCGAATTAACACCATAGTTTTTCTTTATTAGTAAAACTCTAATGTATTGAAGGGGGACTGGAGAGAGGAGAACTACACTGAATGTGTGAATGACTTTCCTCCCATTAAAATATTTAAAGAAATCCTTGCATCACCATCAGGACTAATTTCAGAAGATTTAAAAAAAAATGCAAAAACCTCCGATCTTTAACAGTTCTCCTTTTTCTCTTTTGAATCATTCATTTTTGTTTTTATAAAAATGTCATTTTTAAAAACCATTTGGGATTCCCTTTTTTTGGGGTAACTAAAAAGTTGCTTGTATATTTTTATGAACCCACTAAACTTAAACAGAACTCTTTAGAAAAATAATGTGGATATATTTTGCTTTCTGCAGCCTGAAGAATGTTAAAATAAAAATGCTTTCTTGAATTCCCTCTTCTGGCTCAAGTTACTAGGTGGTCCCAAGTTACCAGAAGTAAAATTTATAAATCTAACCCCTAGTCTAGACATTTTCCAGCACTGACTGCAGTTCAAAAAATATTAACGTCTAGCCGGCAAAGTGAAATTCCCCCCGGTGATTTTGCAAATGACTAGAAAGTTAACCTTTTGCCAATTGCTCCTTCTGTGCATGGAGGTTATTAAAAAGAATCCAGGCATTTATAAGTACGGGCTTTTAAAGACTGAAACACCTTGGCTTGACCCTTTGTGTCTCCTTCTGTTTACTCAGGCTTGGCCTCTGTGGCTGGAATGTGTGAGCCTGAAAGGAGCTGCAGCATTAATGAAGACATTGGCCTGGGTTCAGCTTTTACCATTGCACATGAGATTGGTCACAAGTGAGTGAGTTTAAGAAAATCAAAATAAATTTTAGAACTCCACTTTTTTGAGCAACTAGTAACTACTGTGTGGAATGCCTGTGCTCAACCATATTTTACTGCCTTTTTGTCTGATTCCTATAGAGAATGTTATCCTCTACATGCTATGGTTGCATTTTGGATATTGGGATAAATCATGTTCAGAACTGCAGACTTGTTAAATAATCTTTTTGATGCAGTGATTAGTATCCTCAGTGTTATATGCACCACACTTAAGTTTTGTTACATACATTTGAAATGATTTAGCTTTATTTAGCATGGTCTCCTCAACACTGAATTCCTCATAAAGTCAAATTGTTTAAACTATCTTTCTTTTACTCAAGGGATAATACATACCCAAACCAACCAAACTCATTGCCGTCAAGTCAATTCCAACTCATAGCCACCCTATATATTTTTAAAGAAAAATGGACACCACTACCATAAAATGTACTTTTACGTTTTACGCTTGGTGCTGCTGTGAGCATACCTCTTCAAGGCAAGGCATAAAGCTTGTGCAACCATTGTTATGTAACTGGTATTTTCAGTGCACTTGTATGTCATTGAAACAAAAGAAAAACTGGTATTACAAGTGTAATGGGATGTCATCCTCACTTCTTTTTAGGAAGACCTAGTGTTTTTATATTTGTTTATGAAAACTGTGCCAGTGGGAAAACTATCCTATGTCATTATTTTTTCCTGAATCGCAACAAAATCTTTACTTTCTTTATTTCAAACAGCAGGCAGTAGTAAATGTAAAAGCTTGTTCATGTGGAGGGAGAAATGTCTGAAAATTATTCAAATATTCATATTCCTAAGACTGAAAGATAACTTGCCCTTAATTTCTAATGTGATTCTGATACTCTTATAAAGGTAAAAACTAGACCAAAAAACCTTCCAATTTACTAACAAATTACGTTCTCTGGCAGGAAAGCCTGTTTTCACTAAAACTGAACCTATTAGCATTTAACAAATGATCAGTTATATTGGCTAACAGGAAAATGAGAGAAAACTGAAAAAAGAATACTCAAGCATTTTTAGCTAAAACAGCAGCCTACTTGCAAGAACCCCTGACATTTGTATGATTTAAGTTTTACAATTTACTCAACTTTTTTTTTTTTTGATGGAGAAATGGATGGGGGCGGGGAGAACAAATGGAAATGAATGTTTATTATACCCTTGCCTCAGAGGTAATTCCTTAGATAAATCTGTAGTTTTTGTTTTTGTTTGGTTTTTGTTTTAGGTGGAGAATAGAATTAGGTCAGTGTATTGAATTATTTTAAAACTTGCAATTTAAGCTATGTCAGACTGGTACTGATTTATGTGTAACTGCATATAATCAGCAAGTTTTAAATCTGACTTGATTCAGACGCGGGAGAAGTCAGTATTACACTTTTAATGAAGTCTTAAAAATATTGGTATTCTAGTTTCCATTGCAAAAAACAGCAGGGGAACAAAAGGAAAAAGCTCTCATAACCAGGCAGTTTATCTTCAACTCACTTAAAAATCTGGCTTATTAATGACTGTCATAATCTTATGCAACTAGACTGAATTTAATAGGTTCTGTTAGATTCAGTTAAATTGAGAGGTTAGGACAAGTAACATACAGAGAGTGAATAATGTGTGTAGGAAAGCACTGTTACCTCATGCAGTCACAAGTTATTCAATGTCAATATATGAGTTACAAATCTCATTCTTATATGTACGTAAATAACTGAGGTTAGGCTTTACATCTCTTTGTATCTTTTATTAAGATTCTAACTGGCCTACCTCTCAGGCTTCGTATTCTACACCACAACAGGGTCTATGGGTAATTCTTTTGAATTCTTCCTAAAATGAATGGTTTGTACCTTATGTAGAAGACCTGTGGAAGAGAAGTAGAATACACCTCTCAAGTTTCATGTGCCTTGGAGTGACTTTTATCTCACAGTTAATTCTGTTTCAAAGTGTGAGTGTTAACAATTCCACAAGATCCAAACAGAAATGTTATTGACAGACACAAAAAATTAGCTGACTTTCTTTCCACTTTCCTTTGATTACTATGTTCCTATGTTCTTTATCCTCTTATTCCTCTTTCCCCAGACAAATAATGCAGGATCTGTTTAACATACTATCTTTTACAGAGTGTCAGATCATTATTTGTTCAGTTAAGGAAATATCTATTTCAAGGATGAAAATCCCTTTACCTGTTTCTAAGATTTTAAGGGTTAGCTCTAAGGAACTTAACAAGTCAACTCTGGCATAACTCATGTCATCATAAAATACAGTGATCTGTATTATTTCTGAAACAAAGCAATATCCATGGTAAATATAGACAGATCAAATTATACTGAATTTTTGGTGGCCCTTATTCTTTAGTAGAATGGACATTAATTGATGTGATGACATCTGCAGATCCATTACAAAGAAGAATAATATTTGACCATAAATTATTGAGAAAGAGCCCCTAATGAGTCACTAGACTGTGTGAATATATTCTATCTGTATTTCAATTGTGTGGAACATAGTTTTGAACCCAGTGTATGCTTGTGTAGGAGTATAATATCCATTTCAGACAATTGTGGGATAACTTTTTCTTTGGCTAGGCCTTAGTGACCACTTGGATTTCTCTCTGTCCTTTGTGAAAACAAGAAATTAGTTTCCTTGTCACATGAAAAATTGAGGTTTACTCTCTATTTAAATGACATGTCTAGCCCAAGGTATTTAATGAAATGTTATAGAAAAAATATTCTTTGAAATATTATTATTTTTATTAATTATGTAGTTGTCATAGGGCAGAAGTTGTAAAAACTATGATGTTGAAGAGGGGTGGCAAGAATTCAACCAAACATCTAGTATATCAAGAAAACTATCTAATATATCCAAACTGTACAAAAACAAATAGTTTTAGGAACAGATCTTAAAAATATTCATATTTGTTAGGGATGCATATTAAAGTATGCAGAAATGAAATGATAAGATGTCTAAGATTTAGTTTTAAAAGAAAGGGGAAAAAAAGCAAAAGATGAATCAAGATTAGCCACATCTTAAATTTTATAATCTTTTGTGTGTGCATGTGTGTGTGTGAAAATATACACAGCAGATCATACACCCATTCAACAATTACTACATACAGTTCAATAACATTGGTTACATTCTTCAAATTGTGTTACCATTCTTGCTGTCTCTCCCCATATTTTTTTACCGCCATTGACTTAGACTCATTGCCCCATAAACTACTCATCTGTGCTTTAGAGTTACTATTGTCAATTGGGTATAGATAATTCTTTAAAAGAGCTCAATGCTCAATGCCCTCTTTATTAATTCAGCTAAACTGTTGTTTAGTTTGAAAATGACTTCAGGGGATAGTTTCACTTCCTGAAAAATTTTCTCAGGGCAAGAGTTTCAAGGATTCCTCCATCCTCAGTGGGGCCAGTAAGTCCGGATTCTATGAGAAATTTGAAATTCTGTTCCACGTTTTCCTCTCTTTTGATCAGAACTCATCTATTGATCAAAATGTTCCATAATGGTAGCTGGGCCCCATCCAGTTCTTCTGGTCTCATGGCAAAGGAGTCAGTAGTTCATGGAAGCAGCTAGACCTGCAATCCTGTTCCTTCTTCAGTTCCTAGGTCTCCTTCCTCTGCTGCTCCAGGAGAATAGAGGCCAATTGTATCTTGGATGGCTGCTTGCAAGCATTTAAGACCCCAGGCACTATTCATTGAACTGGGAGATAGATCAGAATCTTTAAAACCAGTGTTAGGTCAGTTGGTTGGACAGTGCTATGAAGCCATGACCCAAAGCCTTTGAACTAAGAGAACTAATCTCATGAGGTATTTGGCTGTACCTAAGTAGTATCAGCAACTGCATCCTCTTTTTTTTTTGTTTTTTTTGGTTGCTGTTGTTGTAAAATCACATATAACACAATATTTGCCACCTTTTTTCCAATGTACAACTTAGTGATATCAGTTATATTAGTCAAGTTGTGTAACCATTACCCTTAATCGATGCCAATTTTCTTAAATTTTATAATCTTGATGGTGAGTGTATGAGAGTTCATTATGCTATTCTCTCTATTATTGTATACGTTTGAAATTTTTCACCAAAATGAATAGGCCTTAAGATCATAATCTTTTGGTCTGAGTTAACTCATTCATTAATTAATAGTGATTGAGTGAACTATCACTAATTTTGAGGGAATTTAAATATTAGAAGTTGTATCAAAAGCCATAGAGGTATATCGGTCTTGCTTTTGGAAGTCAATATCAGTGATTTGTCTTACCAATAGGGATATATTTCTATAGAGATTGGTTAGGAGGGGAATTTTTTAAAAAGAAGAAATGTGGCAAGGCTTCATGGTAAAATTATAAATCGGGTTACCTGTGGTAGGAAGCTGTTACTCTTACCGCTGTTTTCTTGTATTCACACTTCCCTTCTTCTGCCACAAACAACTGTTGTTGTTGTTGTTAACTGCCATCCACTTGGCCCCTGACTCATGACGACCCCATGCATGACAGACGAGAAATGCTCCATAGGGTTGTCTTGTCTTTAATCTTTACAGAAGCAGATCACCAGGCCTTTCTTCTGCAGAGATGTTGGGTGGGTTCAAACCTCCAACCTTTTGGTTAGCAGCCCATCGCAAACGGCTCATGCCACCCAGGCTTCTTATAAACACTGTAAATGGTATTTTAAAAAATTTCAATTCCAACTACAGGTTTCATGTATGTAAAAAGACAGTTGATTTTTGTATATTTACCTTGTATCCTGTGACCTTCTTAAACTCACTTATTAGTTCTAGCAACATTTTTTTGCATGTGTAGATTTCTTAGGATAGTCTTCATCCATAATTATGACGTCTATAAATAAATACAGTTTCACTTCTTCCTTCTAATTTACAAGCCCTTTATCTTAGGTTTTTCATAGATGCCCTCTATCAGGTTGAGGAATTTCTCTTCTATTCCTAGTTGTTGAGTTTTTGATCACGAAAAGGTTTTGGATTTTTCTGC